AGTTTCCTTTGTTGTGACTACTATTCTATGATCTCTTTCCTCCTTTTTCTGTGCACAGTAAAGTCAGGCTCTACTTTTATGATCCAAATTTAGGGGATCAGTTAACCAGTTCACTGGACTATGGCAAGCATTGTTACAATACTTTGAATGAAGAAATCATGTTTATCCACATACTATGTGCAAATTCTTCTGAACTGATTTGGTATTTGAATGAACATTTCCAGAGGTTCCAACTACTCTGGATAACTTTTTTTTTTATTATTATTTCGAACTGAATTCATTTTTAAGAGTGTAAATTTCAGCAAGTCGTTGAGGCTTCTGCTTTAGAAGAGGTGATAAACAGTAGAGGGTGACATTGACCATTGTGACCAGGCTTATTGAAGGCACACTAGTAAATACCCTGTTATCTTTTGGATGAGTTAGATGGTAGCTGCTGAAGAAATAAGTTTCACAGAACCTTTGAGCTATTTTATTTTACAAATAGTATTGAAATTAGAAATTTGGCTGAAAAAACTTGGAGTGTCTCACTTGAAAATTTTGCCTCAGGTTTTGCTTATTGAACAGTCTTGTGTCAAATACCATGTAAACAAATAGCATATGAGCAATTTTCAAGAACATGTAGCACCTTTAACAATTAAAGGGGTTTACCTTTCAGGTAAAAAAAAAAAAAAAAAAAAAAAACACCAAAAAACCAACAACTTTAAATCTCTTTCCATAGTTTAAAAAAATGTATATTTACTATTTAAATCTGACAAATCTTTGGACATATAAATTCTAACTTCACTTTTCTTCAGAATATGACCATAATCCTTTATTAATTTATAAGCAAGATAGGAATAGGATGACATCTTCTTAATATTGACCTGAACTTTGACAGAGCTTAGTTTCATTGCAACAAGGAATATCAACATGTGATTGGCTATTGGCCCATCCAACCTCAGCCCTGTTAAATCCCAGCTTGTGTTCAACTAATAAAACGATCTATCAGTGGAGATGTGGTAGAACCTACAGAAAAGCAGATAAGGGCTAAGAAAATTGCTAATCTGATATAATAGAGATCATTCTGTTCTGAGAGCTGGGTGGAGAGAGTGATGTGTTTATCTTTCATCTACTCTGACTGTGCCAAAGCTAATAGTGGGGGAGCTGGCTATGGCATAGCTAGGATGCTTACTACAGTATATGTATAGATGTGTGGGACATTTTAATGTGAACAAAGGTGATTGTGATCGTCCTACAAAGAGCAGGACAAAATCTTAATCAACTAGTCAGCAACAAGAACTTGCTGGAATCCAAGATTGTCGGCCTCATATGTGCAATCTCCAGCCTATCTATGGAGTAAGAAATAGGTTGGCTCAATAGAGCTGACCTATTTGTTTCCCAAAGACTGCTTCCTAAGGAAAGCAGAAGAATTCATGTAGGTATGGTTCAGAAGAGAAGATGAAAAGGAAAAGGAAGGAAAGAGAAAAGGGAATAGAAGCCAAGGCAAGACATACAGATAATGAACAGAGGGCTGGAGCACCTCTACTATGAAGAAAGGTTGAGGGAATTGGGCTTGTTTAGCTTGGAGAAGAGAAGGCTCTGGGGAGATCTCATTGCAGCCTTCCAGTACTTGAAGGGAGCATATAAACAGGAGGGGGAACAGCTATTTACATGGGTGGATAGTGATAGGACAAGGGGGAATGATTTTAAACTGAGACTGGGGAAGTTTAGGTTAGATATTAGGAGGAAGTTTTTCACACACAGGGTGGTGACACACTGGAACAGGTTG